CATTTTGGGTGATTTATTCTGTGGTCTTTAACCCACTAACAACGGGTGTCCCACATATGAGACACCCAAAAAAATAAACGTTGCCGGGCATCCCGCCAGTGTGACGCTGCATCGGGGCTTGTGCTCCGACACTGCAGCGGGCCACAGCCAACCAGCGGACAGAGTCCGGGGCAGCTCCGGCTGCCAATTTTGTTTTTGGAAAAAAAAATTAAAATTTATATCTCACTTATCCACTCACCAAACTTTTTAAAAAATAACACCACATATACTCTATAGCAATACTTATACTAGACATGATTCGATTTTGAAATTTCCTCTTGGTTTAGTGTAAAAAAATAATAATAATAATAAAAATAATAATGTTCGTTGTTATGAATATAAAATATGATATATGGAATTTTATCACCTGAAATGAAAAATCAATTGTCTCTAAAATCGCAAATTTATTCAGCTTTCAAATGATGCAAACCCCATTAGAATCGCCCATGTAGTTATGGAGAATTTTTTTAAAATGTTGACAAAGGTGTAGTTTTGAGATATCAGGCTTCGAAGTTCAAGATACTTTTTCCTCAATTTGTGTGTGTGTGTGTGTGTGTGTGTGTGCGTGTGCGTGTGCGTGTGTGTGTGCGTGTGTGTGTGCGTGTGTGTGTGCATGTGTGTGCTTTTTTAGAATTCTTATCTCCGCATCAATCTTGCTGCATTCTATGGCATTCAAATGGTATTCTGAAGTATAGCTGGTACCTAGTTCCCACTTTTGCAAGGTACTAATGGCAATTACTGCACATGATTGTAGAAGTTGCTGTCCTGGCTGCCATCTGGCAGTCCGGTTCCATTCCTCCTGACCTGTTGAGGGGTGTGGTCATCCCTCTCTGGAAGGGGAAGGGGGACCATTGGGACTGCAGCAATCACCGAGGCATCACACTGCTCAGTGTACCAGGCAAGGTTCTTGCCCACATCCTTCTGAGACGTATCAGAGACCATCTACTGAGGCACCAGAGACTGGAGCAATCCGGATTCACTCCTGGTAAGTCCACAATAGACCGTATCCTCGCGCTTCGAGTCATTGTAGAGCGCCGTCGTGAGTTCGGGCGTGGGCTGCTTGCAGCCTACATCGACCTCAAGAAGGCGTTCGATACGGTGCATCGGGAGTCACTTTGGGAGATCCTGAGGCTGAGAGGAATACCAACAAGGATTATTGGACTAATAGCAAGCCTGTATACTGGTACTGAAAGTGCTGTAAAGTGTGGTGGGGGCCTGTCGAGCTTCTTTCCTGTTAGTTCAGGAGTGAGGCAAGGCTGTGTCCTTGCACCAACTCTTTTCAACACTTGCATGGACTGGATACTGGGCAGAGCTACTGTTCAAAGTCATTGTGGGGCAACGCTGGGCAATATCAAGGTTACAGACCTTGACTTTGCTGATGACGTTGCCATTCTATCTGAGTCTTTGGAAACCCTAGTGGCGGCTCTCGATGCATTTAGCAATGAAGCGAAGCCCCTGGGTCTAGAGGTCTCCTGGACCAAGACCAAGGTCCAGGAATTTGGGGACTTGTTAGGAGAACCTGTTCAGTCGGTACGTGCTTGCGGCGAGGACATTGAAGTCACAGAGAGCTTTACATACCTTGGTAGTGTAGTTCATAACTCTGGGCTGTCAGACCATGAAGTCAGCAGACGGATTGGCCTGGCAGCAGGGGTCATGAACTCTCTCAACAAGAGTATTTGGAGATGTCGGTACCTGTGCAGAAGGACCAAGCTACGGGTTTTCAAGGCCCTGATAATGCCAGTTTTGCTATACGGTAGCGAAACCTGGACATTGTCCTGTGCCTTGGAGGCTCGTCTTGAAGCCTTTTGTAATAGGTCCTTGCGCCAGATCATGGGGTACTGTTGGCGGGACCATGTGTCCAACCAACGGTTGCACCGTGAGACTGGCACAAGCCCTGTTATCTGCACAATCCGTGATCGCCAACTCAGGCTATACGGCCACCTGGCTCGCTTTCCTCAGGATGATCCTGCCCATCAGGTCGTCTCTATTCGAGACAACCCTGGATGGAGGAGGCCTGTGGGACGACCGAGGAAGTCATGGCTTGGGCAGATCGACCAAACCTGCCGTGAAGAACTAGAGATGGGCCGAGTCCCTGCCTGGCGTCTAGCCATGAGGGATCCTCGTAGGTGGAAGCGAAGGGTGGATGCGGCTATGCGCCCCCGTCGGCGTCAGCCCCCATGATGATGATGATGATTGTAGAAGTACCGCGTATCATCGCAGGCTTCGCAGTGCCTCGTGAAGCATTTCATACAAATAAACAACTACTGCAGCTGTGATTGAGATATATTTCTCCTCATATTATGTTTATTAGTTACAGGAATAACATCTATCATTAGTAGTGTCCTATTAGTGTGTGATGAGGGCACATCAGGGTAGGTCTATGGGATGGTGTCGCGCCAAGGCATGGGACGCGCAGCCTCTTGCTCTGGCTCTCTCATGGTGACTGCCCACCTTGTCTCTTAGTCATGGCTGTCAGCTGTGCCATAAGCAGAATTACCAGCTAGCTACCAGAGAATACCAAAATAGATTGAAAAATTTAGTCATAACTCCTTTGTTTTTACATATTTAGTAGAAATATTACATCACGGGATTGCCAAAGCCTACTGGATTGTAGATTTTTTTTTTTCAAATTTTTGAGTATTTGTTAAAATATTCATCAGAAATTCATCATGACGGTCCCCTTAAAGGGCTTAAGTCTACTGGAGATGATTGTTGCTATCCCCAGGGAATAGTGATGACTAATGGTGTCAAACAAACAGTACCAAGTGATACCAGCTGCCTAGTCATGCTGCTGCTAACATGACATGTACATATGTATAACTATACATATGTATATATATGCATGTATATATATACATATTTACACATGTGTATATATATATGTATATCTAGATAGACAGATAGATAAATAGATAGATTTAGAGAGAGAGAGATTGATATAGGTATATGTATAAACATATATACATGTACATGTGTATATAGGTATACATATACATATATATTAACCCCTCTGCACTGATGATGGCTATGGCTGTCATGACATAACAGCCTATGACGTGTAAACACATGACTAAAAGTGGGTTAGTCAGTGTCTCATATGTGTGACACCCATCATAAGCAGGTTAATAATAATAAGTGATCATAATATTGATAATAATAATAATCATAATATCAATAATAATAATAATAATGAACATAATAGCAGTCAATATCATAATCATAAACATAATAATCAATATAATAATAATATCAATAGTAATAATAATAACAATTATTATCATCATCATTATTATCCTGTAAAATTCACACAGCCCTGATCCAGTGCATCACAATATTTTTTTTTTCTTTCCCTCTAGTATCACATGTATCTCATGCTCATTCCATCTCACTTTAATCCTCCTCTCTAAAACTACATTTTGCTGTCTACAAATATAACAATATTCAAAGCGTAAGTCTTAACCCTACGATCTGGGTTACATTACGGTCCCGACATGGAAAAATCAGGGTTAAGGACTGGGTGACGTGAACATGCCGTCAACAGGTAAAATGCCCACAGACCGGGTGATGCCAACGTGTCGTCATGAGCAAAGGCCAGGGTGAAGGAAAAGACTCATCATGAGTGCACAAACCTCTTGGAGTGTGATCTGACTCATTTGGCACTTAGAAGGGGGCTTCAGCATTATTCCCATTGATAAACAAATGTGGAATGTAAAGTGCGTAAGCAGTGATTGGAAGAGTGCTGGCTCCAGAGAGGATGCCATTTAAATGCACACTGTATTCCTGGCTGCTGTGACCACTAGCTCAGGTTGTATTACGGAAAATTGAAAATTATGAAAAAATAATATATATGACACAAATGTTACATATTTCTTTCTTGATCTGAGGTATTCAATTCATAGAAAGATGATATGAAGTCTGTGCAAGGAAAATAAGCTATTTCCATCTGGATAAAGCAAATCAAAAGACAAATATGGGCATTGGAAAACGTCAAAAAAGCTATTAAAGTTTATACAAGATAACTTTTCAAAAAGTCAAAGAGCATATTTCTAGAAACGATGGATCAACAGATAATGAATATATTCACCTAAAGTTTGACTACCTAAAGACACATTGCACAAGTTTTGTAATCCACACTTTTTTTTCCCTTTTTCATTAGCACTTTATCTCATGTATTTCTGAAGTGCAATAAGTAAGAAACAAACAAACCCAATTATGCAAATATTATTAGCAATCCTAGATACATTTTTAAGCTGTTTTGTGTATTTGGAAAAAGCTTTACATGGTGAAGATTTTATAAACTATTCAAATATATAGATGCATGCAAGCAAACAAAATAACTAAAGCACAATTCACATTTCTTATCCTTTTATAATCCAAATCCCTTAAAAATAAAAGAGAAATAACAGAATAGATGAATTAGAAATAAAAATATTTCAGGGTTTCCTTTACTGACAATTCATCTGGATAATGGATAAGACAACACTGTGCACAGGTCATGCAGTCCTGAATGCAAAACTTAATGACACAAAAGCCTTACAAACACTCCAGAGACTTGAAGAAAAAAAAATCTAAAACACTGGATTTGGATAAGTTATCCAACATAAATGCTTTTTGTAATGGAAGAATTGGAGGAAAAAAGAAAGAAAAAAACACTACCAAATGCCAGAGCTCATTTCTGTAAAAGAATAATGACAACAATGTAAAACATACTGGTAGTGGGCAAAGAGACCGGTACACTTGGTGGGGGATGCCCAGACAGGTTCTTGAAATTGTAAGGGATCTGCTGGTAACCTGGCTGTGGGGGAGGAGACGGTGTGCGTGATCTCTTCATGGAACCCTGTAAAAAGTTTGAAAGTTGGAATTTAGGTGATCTTTGTGAAAATTAGGTTCTCTCTAGTTCAAGACCTTAGAGTTTAAAGTTTAAGATGGCAAGGGTCTGAAAACCTTTGATACTATAAAATATGCACTACATACCCCATTCTGTCCAATGAGTTAGCAGATACTGATTAAAGAACATGTGATTCTAAGAAAGCATTCTATACAAAACAGCAATTTTATCTTATCTTAAGTGAAGTTGATCTTAAAAACTACATTAGGCATCAACTACAATGGAGTGGGAGCAAAGAAGGGCTTGTAGTTGCAAACTGATCAATTCACTAATTTTTAAATTATGAATCAGCTACTGAAGAACAAACTTCCTATAAGAAATCATGTTATTAATAGACATTATCTAAGTTACTTGTAAGAATAACAAAGAGAACAATACAAATATAACTAGCTAGCAAAACAAAAATTATTTTCTTTTATTTCAGTATCAGCAAATTATGTCACACCAATTATTAGCATTGATTTTTAAAGAATTAATCAAACATACACATGAAAAAACAATACAATAAAGAAACATTGTCGGTAAACTTTGCATTTTTTGCATTTCCTTGTTGTACTTGGGTTTTGTTTCACTGATGTCATATATATACTGTCACTGAACTTTTGTTTAATCAATTTTGTTTACACATAGAGGGCTTAACAAATTCTTAGACATCAACAAGTAAATTGGCAGAACTAAACTATTTTTACCCGTTTACCAAATCCTTTGCCTTTTTTCAGATTTTTTATTTACTTCTAATACTATCATCATTGACATTATTATTATCTTAATTATCATTATTATTGTCATTATTATCATTACTGACAATACCATTATCATAACCTTATTAACTCATTCACATGGCATACTAAGCTACATGCCATGGATCATGTACAGTCTCAGGAGAAAAATTAGAAGTGTGGGAACATGTTTTTTTTTTTATGATAGTAAAAAGAGCATTCAAGCCTATTTTTGAGCAGATGACTGCAGTTAGGGCCAAACAAGAAAAAAGCTGTAATAAATAGATTTTTATGACATTTTTACAAGGTGTCTTAGCCCAACTTAGGTGCCATTAAATTTTGGTAGTGATCCAGATCATGATCCAGATCTAGGAAGTTTTTAAATGATTGCATCACATTTACACCTCTTACCATGGCAATCCTCTTGTAACTATCATCATTATTAGTATTACGAAATAAGAACAAATTTTTGGCATTTGAATTATTATTACTATCCTATTGCCTTGGTGGAGGGTTGCACTCTAAGTGCTTCTAGTTACAGATGAATCAGGTTTTTCTTAACATCCCATATTTTGTATCTGAAGCCTAAAATTTAACCAAATGTTGCAAGGATGTCAAGAACACATGTTATTTGCTGACTGCCTTTTTGTTTATTGATTGTCTTTATAAATAGATGGCTCCAAAAGGAGTCAATTACTAGTCCTACCTACCTCACCTGTCTACCCTTTTCCTTGATTTTCAGGGAGATTTTCTTTGGCTTTTATGGTTTTCAATACTGTTAACATTATAATAGCCATAATGTCAACAATACTAACAATGTTGATATTAATGGCATTAGAAAAAAAATCAAAGAAAGAGGAAATCAGCTGAAGATATATAGGGTTCCTATTGATTCCTTAGTGGCTGAGCACTTGTGGCACCATCTATGTACAAATAAAATTCACAACAGAAAACAACAATAGACATTGTGATTAACCAACACCATTGGGTTCATTTCAAGTTAGGCTAATTATATAAAATAAAAAAATTCAAGCTTGACTTCAACTATTTAGTCTCATTCATATTTTCTCCCTCCCTAAATTCTATATTCAATTCTTTGGTATTTTGGGAATACTGAATTCTGAATACAAAACCTTTACATGCTTTAACTTACAGGAGGAATGAGTGGTTGAGGTTGTGCCTGTGGTACTTTGTATGCGTGAAGCGGTAATGTGCTTCGGCCAGGCACAAGATTTGATTGGAACAACATCTGAGGATGGCCAGTCATCGGAATTCCATGGGGGTATGGGGGTACCATCATCTCGCTGAGTATGAGACGTAAAAGGACAAGGTGTTACATTTTTAAGTCACTTGTTAGCCCTTAGCCTCTAGATAATGTGGGATTCATATCATGACTGACTTGGTTGTACCTCCAGATGACAGATCATTTACGTCATGGCTGACCTGGGTGCTGATCTGGATGACAGTTCATTCACATCATATTAAAATGATGCTTGTATTACATTTTAAAGAACCTTAGTGCCCAAGCCACATAGTCTAGGGCATTGAAGGAGGAAGAATGTAATGCTATGATTGGCTACTGTCTTGTATAACAAGTGAATTTTAGCATAATAACCATTTGCCTGCTATGCGTGGAAGATGTCACAGACCAAAAAATAACACTCTCTTACTGATGATGTGAATGTGTAAGTAACCTTCACTCTATTTCCATCATTTGTCTCCTCACCTTAATTACTCACAATGTCTTTTGGCACTCTGCCAGTGTGACGGACTTGAAGTATGACACTCAAAAGGAAAATACTGAAGACATGATAGTAGCAACTTTGTATATCACTGCATACAATCTCTTATCCC